ATGACAGCCTGCGCTGAACACGCTGTCTGGCCAGCCAGCCACGCACCACTGAGACAAGAGGAAGAGGAGGATGAAGAGAAGGATGGAGGAGGAGGGGAAGACAGAGACGCCAGAGGTGTCAGTGAAAGAAACATACAAACCCTAAAAGAACATCATGGGTTGCTGGTTTGTTATTTAGGACATTACCTTTCTGACAGGTGATCTTTTTATGAAGCTGGTAGCAGCGGTCGTTGAGCTGGTCTGCCTGCCAGTATCTCAGAAACACTTTACTACTGCCCATCTATACACAGAACGACACAAGTTATCTGATCAAGAATATATGCAAAACATTGCTGACACTTCACTGCCATCATCATCAGTCTTCAGGAATAGGCTGTCCCACTAGAGGCTGTCCTCTTCTTCTGAAATCTCAGAAGAGAGTGACTTGCTATTTGAGAGATGGGAGAGAAGTAGTAGAGTAGCAATGATGTATGATAATATGGGTGGTGTGGAGTGTGGGCAGGATTTGGGGTTTGCATGTTGATCACTTCCTGGGCTAAAGGGACATTTGGAAGAGGGTGGCTGGCGACAGAGGTCACTATAACAGGTGCACAGAGCTGTGGGGGTAACATACTACCACAGACGGACACTCATTCCAACACACGCTACTTGTAGGAGTAGTGTGTGTGGTGTGTGTGTGTATGTATAGCAGGGCTGTATGAGAAGGTGTCTGTGGGGCATTGTAGAGGAGCGTGTGTGTGCATGTGAGGCAGGAGCTGATGCGACCTGTAAGGTCACACACTCAGACACAACAGCAGTCTGGCAGACAGCACAGAGAGGGGGGAGGAGTCTGTGCTGTTGTGTTGTGTGTTTGGTGTGCATGTGTGAGGAAATGATGATGAGGTGAGGACAGCTGGAACAAGTTGCCAAAGATTCCATGGGATCGGGAATAGTAATTTGGCGAATCTTTTGTTACTGATGGAGACAGAAAGAGGCAAGACACCACCAGACACACACACACCACACACAGACACACACACACACACACACACACACACACACACACACACACACACACACACACACACACACACACACACCTGCCATCCCTGGAGTTTGAACTGTTGCAGAACTGAGCGGCATCTCTCCTCTGGTGACAGTTTCTTTTTGTCTCCCAAAGTTGGGACCACGAGGTCTTTATATCTGAGACACACAAATAAAACAGAAAACACAAAGTGTTGAACTTAAACATTTAGACAAGAAATATTGACACCCCCTTTTCAAAAACAATGGGTTCAAAGGTTAGTGGGGTCATACGGCAGCCCAGCCAAACAGCATCTGTTCCTATTGGTGTTGCCCTAGGCAACTGCTATGAATGGTCAGCTGGATAGAGACAATGTTTTGCTTGTGCCAGGGATCGTAGGGTGAAAGGGAAAATGAGCAAGAGAAAGTTTGACACAGAATTCAATGATAGAAAATGTATGCCTCTTGATATGTAAATACTGTGGATAATTCTATATGCGGTGTGAATTCTGAATGTTTAGACATGAATGCATGAGTACTGTAAGTGTGACAGAGGCTGGCTTATGAAGGGAAACTTGCCAATTTGAATGCTTAGACCAGATCAAAAATGTGAGTGGAATAAAAACTTAACATTCTCCCTTTCATAAGCAGTTACTTCCAAAGGGCCCTTGTGAGCCCCTTTGCACCTGCTCCAGGAAGACTCGGCAGCCACCCAACTTAAGTAAGTGTAACCATAATTGTGCAGAAGAAAAGGGAGCATAGTTAAAATGGTGTATTTGCGCTGGTCCACACTGTCACACTGCATGTGATGATCCTGATGTGGTGTGTTATGAATATTTAATTTACACTGTTCAGCTTTGGCTAGAGCATTAACACCTGTGACAGACAACCCCCGATACCTACAGAGCTACTGAACAGGATACTCATTTAAATTAAGATGAATGGGTAGTCACAAGGTACACAGTAAATGCTATGGAGATTTTTGACTTGTCATAATAGGAAAAGCACACTTATTACATTTATTCATTTTAGCTGACGCTTTTATCCAAAGCAACTTACAATTGAGCTCACACGCCTCTGGAGCAACTAAGGGTTAAGTGTCTTACTCAGAGAGTCTCACAGTGGTTTTGAACCCAGGTCTCTCACACCAAAGGCATGTTTCTTATCCACTGCTCCACCATAAATAACATTAACTTACCCAGTAGTCCTGCTGTATAACATAATGCATCTCCTTCTGCTGGATGACATAAGCATTATCAATAACATTTTTCCTATTTAGTTGTTATTTTGTACCCACAAGGACATGCAACCGATTATAAACACATTTAGATATGAATTGCAAAGTTGGTGGCATGGGTGACAATTCCATATTTTTTGACAATAGACTGAGAATTACACTTATATTTCTGTCCAGGAGCTGCAGGTAAATATGATTTCTTTATCTGGAAACTGATGGATGTCAGTGATACCCTGAAACTGTATTACCTCAATAAAGCTTAATTTTTAAACTTTGAGGTTAATGTTATCAGTAGCTGATATCGCTGGTACAGGGGAAACCCACGCAGATAATATTTTAAAGTAGCCCCACATTTTCAGTCCTTTGGCTTTGCAACACCGCATTATAACTAGAGCCCCTTTTGTAACATCTTTTAGGCATCCATTTACACAGACAAGTCAGCAACTATGACATTCTCTGAATGAAATAGGAATAGAAATACACAAACCCCTCAAACATTGTATCAGCTGGTCAGTGCATTATGTCAGTCAGTGATCTGTCTTTTCTGTTATTAATGAGAGGCAGAACCAGCTGATGATGTGACACATCTGAGGAGGAAAATATAACAAGCAGATGGCTGGAAGCATAACCCACTGTGTTGTCAATAGTGAGTGAGTGAGGGCATGTGCATTTGGGATGTATTTGATTTGCAAGAGTGGGGTCCGTCTGAACTCTACCTAACCCTCTCTCTGTATGGTAATACCAGTCCTACAGACAGCACACGTCCCACTGGGCCCATAAAACACAAAGGAACTCTGTAAACCCATGACCTTCCCTATGAGGATATGAAAACCATCGATGGTCCCTGCTTTTACAAGACCCAAGGGGGCTTCATGTGGAGTAAAAGAAGGGAAATAACCCTTTTGATAACAGTTTAAGTGGAGGGCTACAAGGCGCTAATGTTGTTCTCTGTGAGCAAAAGGGCCTCTCACTGTTACTGAGCATCACAAAGGTGTTAAATGCAATGCAGCTGGAATTTAAACCACTCACTTCCTTTCTGAGGCCCCATCCACACTAATGCGTTTTTGTTTTAAAACAGACCTTTCGCTAAGTTTGCACCTCCCGTCCAAACTAAAACGAAGACCTAAAACGGAGAAGTTTGGAAATGCTGTTTTTCGATTTGAAACGACAGAGGGCGTTTTAGTGAAGATGGTCAAAAACAGAGGACTCTAGAAACAATGATGCAGACGATCATGTTTGCTCTCTGATTGGTGCTACTGACAGTTTTTGACATGTTTTTTTTAATTAAAATATTTTGTACTGTGCAAATAACACTCATAGCTACACTTGTACTGTACGTGTTCCCGTTTACTTTGCGATGACTTCCAGTCTGATTTTCACCGCCGCAGCCGCTTTTAACTCCCGTGTTACATTCAGTCCCAAGTTCGCCAACAGTCCCAGCTCGTTATTGGTCCAAATAAAAATCTGGGTGATTGTTTGTCTGTAGTACTGCATTCTTTCTGTAACTACGGAATAGACCATCTCCTTCATGTTTACACCGATACGCGCATGCCCAGTGTACGTGAACAGCCACTAGATGTGCATTTTCAGTCGTTTCAAATCGGCAAAATGGCATGATCCTCGTTTCACTGCGAAGCTTCGACTGTGAGATTGACAGTCGAATCAGGCTCTGCCCCATCGAAGCATCGAATCTTCGACTATTGGGGGTCAGCCCTAAGTGGTAGTATTTGACCTTACACATAGGCAGAAAATAAACCCAGCCACAAAACTCATAGTGTATCATAAAAGACAAATAAAAGCAACAGTAAAATAGATTTCCTCATAAATCACTATGGTTACCAGGACACTAATTGCCAGCCACTATGACTTAGTGAAGTGGCCTGCATGGTTCCAGTGTGCAAGTGTGTGTTTGTGTGTACTGTAAACACTGGTGTGTTTGTGTTCATGAGAATATAGCAACCTCAAGATTAATGGCTGATTTATTGGCCTGTCATTTTGATTAGTCAAGGGCCAGGTGGTTTTGAAAGACTGACAAATGGAAAGAGGAAAAAGGACCAAGAAACAGGACAAAATTGAGATAGTGTGTGTGCAGGTGAGCGAAAAAGGGAAGATAAAGACTGAAATGAAGAAAGAAATAAAACTTTGCAAGAGAAGAGGCCGGAAGATGAAATAAAAAAGCAAATGGTGGTTCAGAAGAGAGAGAGATGTGAGAAAAGCATGAGATACTGAGTGAGAAAGAACTCTGTAAAGACAGCAGTGTAGTCCACCCCCACTCTGCAGCCCCCTCCTTGGCCAAGGCTGTGTTCATTCATTGGCCCCGTCTGTGTTGAACGCAGTGGAGGAAAGAGAGAGAGTTCCATATGAATGGAACTTGAGTTGACTGGTGTCTTTGTGAGTGGCAGCCATTTAAATTAAGTATAGCCTTAATGTATACATGGACAGACGTCAGACCCTGTTTACACCTAGCATTAACAAGCGTCCTGGCTGATCCGATCACAAGGGGACAGCTTAAGTACAGGTGTGAATGCACACCTAGCAGTCCCATTAACGCTAGCTAACTCTGCATGGACTAGGAGCTCGGAGTACTGGGGCAGTGTTTGTGTTTACACCACTAGCACAGGAGCTTTGTACCGCTAGGAGGAGGTTTACTTTATTTAAGCTTTAAAACTAATATAACTCTGTAAATCACTGACAGTTGAGACCGCAACAGAAGAACATCAGAGGGAAAACTAGAAAATATTTTCTTTATAAAACATGATCCAGATCATACTGGATCAGGATATTTTTCCATAAATTTCAACAAGATCTGTGAATAAAGTTATAAAGCTGTGTTTTTGTACAGCAATTTTTAAGGCCCTTCTCCCAGAACCACATCATTCCGGCAGCGTCTATCGTCTAATCTTATTCTTGTCGGTTTGTGGTCTGACAACAAAGAAAGATAGAAAAAACACCACATTTGTCCTTTAAAATGTAAATGATGTAGGCTATGTATTTATTTGTATATAGTGCAGGGACGTGAGATCCAATCACAAGTGGCCACTAGGGTTGCAGCGGTATGAGATTTTCTCGGTATGATAACTGCCTCAGAAATGACAATGGTGTCACAATATTAGACAATTATTATTATCAGTTACAATGACCCTAAAAGGAATGAAACAATGTTTTTTTGTTGGTTGAACAAATGTTTTAACAATTCACAAGATATTATGTCCTGACAAACATGAAACCTGATATATATATATATTATATATATATATAGACAGTAATACTGACACTAATACTGTTGAATTCAATACGGTAGATAAGCTAATGTACAAATTTTCATACGACAGTATACCGTCAAACTGGTAGGCACATTCTAATGCAAGTGTGAACTGAAGTACTAGGAGCTGTCCACTTGTGATCAGATCAGCCAAGACGCATGCTAATGCAATATATAAATAGCGTCAAAGGAACACTCAAAAGGTCCATTTTTTACAAACACAAAAGCTATATAAGCTTAGGGAATATTGTTCTTTTCTTTTGTTCATCTAGAGTGAACTGGACAGCCTATAATAGAGGCCTTATATCACATAAAACAGAACTTACTCTCTTATTCTATCACAACTGCTGTCTGGGTCAGTTGTACTGGTGGGTTATAATGATATTACAGCCAGACCATGACTCTAGCAGAGATGAACCATGTTCATGCAACAAACCACCATCAGGGCGCAACAATACCAACAGTCCAGCCAAACAAGACTTTTTGGAGGGACGCCTGAAAGCAGTTTGACACACCATAGAAGATGCCTCCTGTACTACAGTAGTTAGTGGCTGATTGAAAACAGCTGCTACATTTCCAGGGCACTGGAAGCTCAGCCATCAAAATGTATCAATGAGAAGACGAAAGTCTCATTTGTGATCTCACCGGGCCATCCCCAGACTGGGCTACCACATTATGAGA